CGAACTCACCAAGGAATGTTTACTTCCCATAAAGGCGAACTCACCAAGGTATGTTCATTCCCCATAAAGGCGAACTCACCAAGGAATGTTTACTTCCCATAAAGGCGAACTCACGAAGGTATGTTCACTCCCCTTAAAGGCGAACTCACCAAGGAATGTTCACTCCCCATAAAGGCGAACTCACCTAGGTATGTTCACTCCCCATAAGGCGAACTCCCTAAGGTATGTTCACTCCCCATAAAGGCGAACTCACCTAGGTATGTTCACTCCCCATAAGGCGAACTCCCCAAGGTATGTTCACTCCCATGAAGGCGAACTCCCCAAGGTATGTTCTCTCCTTCAAAGGATGCAGCAGGACAAGGGTATTTACCGGCCCACTTAAAATAACAAATATACATGTTACGGATCCTAATGTTCAAATGGTCGTGTGTGTTTTTCAAGCTTGTCTTAAAAGGCGACTAACGGGATCGGGTGGTATGTCTCGCTTACTTGTGTGATATATTTCGTCATATCCCAATCGATGCTCATGATGTCAATCACTAGATTGTCCAGACACGATTTGTTTCACAGACCGCCCCCATTCAGCTGGAATACTGCTGAGTGGGGCGTTAAACAAACAAACAAACAAACAAACAAACAAACATATTTCTAGCATGACTAAATGCATATTAGTGGCTACAATTAATAAAATAAGCGGAATCTAAATAACAACAACGTGCAAGTGCCAAGGGGCATTATATAATGGTTGATTAATTTAACTCATCTTCTTCCAGGAATGAAGAAACAAGTTCGTCGGATGATAGAGGTAACAATGTCTAGCTTTTTTGCGAAAATATGTAAAAATGTCGATGTTAAATCCACATTTAGTATTATATGAACACGGTATATTTGATGAATACGAATGAAGAATAATGTCAAGCAATGAGTGAATTGGATGTGATAAAGTTTATGGTTTGAATCTTTGACATTTGCTCTTCTTTAAGAAATACGTAGATATGTTATTTTATGCTACCAATTTAATGTTATAGTGACCAACAACTGCGCTCACGCATTCGTCAAATGACATGTGTGTTTTTGGGGGCACGGGTGGCCCAGTCGCCTAAGGCGCCGCGATGGGCTGTGCAGAGTTACGTCCCTTGGCCACGCCAGAAACCTATAATTGTGGGTTCGAATCCCAGTTCGCTCCGATTATGTTTCTAGGTTTGTCAGCACCATACCCGTGCTCGTGGGTTTCACCGGTCTGAGACCTGCATAATTTCGAGCTTTCCTCCCACATGAAGCTGACTGATATAACTGGAATTATGTTAAAAGCGGCGTTAAACCCAACTCACTCACTCACACACGTGTGTTTTCAGGTGAAGCGCCTGAGAATCATTATACCGGACTTACAAGTCGCCCCGGGACTGTCCCGGCCGCTTATGACACCATCGTGTACCAGAACAGCCCCGGTATGCCAATTTGGTTTACTGATAGTTTAATTTACTGTTGGTGTGGTTAAACTGTTAGTTTGGTTTACTGTTAGTTTGGTTTACTGTCCGTTTAATTTAATATTAGTTTGGTTTACTGTTAGTTTGGTTTACTGTTAGTTTGGTTTACTGTCCGTTTGATATACTGTTAGTTTGGTTTACTGTCAATTTGGTTTACTGTTAGTTTGGTTTACTGTCAGTTTGGTTTACTGTTAGTTTGGTTTACTGTCAGTTTGGTTCACTGTCAGTTTGGTTTACTGTTAGTTTGGTTTACTGTTAGTTTGGTTTACTGTTAGTTTGGTTTACTGTCAGTTTGGTTTACTGTCCGTTTGGTTTACTGTCCGTTTGGTTTACTGTTAGTTTGGTTTACTGTCAGTTTGGTTTACTGTCCGTTTGGTTTACTGTTAGTTTGGTTTACTGTTAGTTTGGTTTACTGTCAGTTTGGTTTACTGTTAGTTTGGTTTACTGTCAGTTTGGTTTACTGTTAGTTTGGTTGATTTTGATTTGAACATATTTATTCACAAGGAGTGAACGGGATTGGGGGACAAGTTCTTCCAACTTAGAATGCCCTCTCCCTGGTATTTACACAAATTTCACAATTTCAAATTCAATATATATGCATACAACACTATAGATGAGAGAGAGAGAGAGAGAGAGAAAGAGAGAGAGAGAGAGAGCGAGAGAGAGAGAGAGAGAGAGAGAGAGAGAGAGAGAGAGAGAGGGGGGGGGGGGGGGGAGATACATTGTTGAATGAACAGTTCGTTACACAAATCTTTTAGTTGTGCATATATAATGTTGTACTGCCTTAAACATAGCTTCATTTTCTGTAACAACGTGATCTGCATTGCCATATAACAGTAAGTGTACATCAACAGGTATGTTATGAACAATATTGTTAAGGCTGTTTAACATAATTTCACGCTGATGACTAAACAATGTACATTCCATGAGATAATTATATGCATTTTCACATGTATTCGAACATGTACAGTTCGGGTGATCTTTTATACCAATTCTATATAGATCATAATTCAATTGACTGCACATGTATCTCAGTTTTGTGTGTAAGATATTATATTTTCTTTTTCCATAAGCGAAGTACGCAGGTGACGTGGGGTGGTGCTTTTGTAACGAATTTTTAAAACAAGAAGTCGTAGAATTAGAATTAGTTTGGTTTACTGTTAGTTTGGTTTACTTTTAGTTTATTTTACTGTTGGTTTGGTTTACTTTTAGTTTGGTTTACTGTTAGTTTAGTTTACTGTTAGTTTGGTTTACTGTTAGTTTGGTTTACTGTTAGTTTGGTTTACTGTTATTGTGTTTGGAGTAAAGGTTAGGGTAAGTGTGGGACTGTGTGACAAGAACCCACTAGAGATTTGGGATACAATTGCTCTTCAGGCACCCAGGCTTGACGTGAGAGGCGACTAACGGGATCGGGTAGTCAGGCTTGCTGACTTGGTTGATGCATGTCATCGTATCCCAGTTGCGTAGTGCTATGCTCATGATGTCAATCACTGGATTATCAGATCCATGCTCGATTTACAAACCTCCGTCCTATAGCTGGAATATTGCTGAGTGCGGCATAAACAACAAACAAAATGTGATAAGAAAACGGCTATGTATAGACCTTGATTACCACTCGATCTGAACCGAACTATACTGGCCCAGCTGCATTTTCCCTCTGCAGGGTGCGCTCCGTAGACGCGCCCAAAATATATAATTATGCGTTCAAATACCGGCCCCGATCACGATTGTAGGCTGGCCATCAAGCTGGTAAGCGTCTGAGACCAGCAGCATTGTTCTAAGCGACGTTAAACTAAACTCACTCACCCAAAATCTTATCTCCCGTCGAAGTTGGCGGTTGTATGTGTTTTCGTCATTACATCACTGAAATATTGCCGATGTGACGTTAAATTTAACTCACTCACGCATGTGTTTTTACATTTTCCGAAGGCAAAGACGTTAACTGACAATAAAAGTCCAGTTTCCACCCTTGCCGACCTATGCTTGAATTTCTAGACTCAATCGTAGCGCCATCAGTGGCTATTAAGAGTTATGTCCCTTCTGTGTCCCTCCTTTTGACCAATCAGATTACAGCTCTCATGGCACATGCATTTGCTTCAAACAAAATGGCAGCGCCCAGTCAAGACGATCTGATCGATAATCAAGACCTGTATTGTAATAAAACGGGTCTTACCCAGCGAGCTGCATCAAATCACTTGCGCACCTTGATTATAAACATGAAATGATTGCAAAATATCTGTCGACGCCCAGTTGACGATACACATGCTTTGCAAATCCTGCAGTCGACAAAAATCTGCACGTTGAAATCCATGTTGTTTACGAACCGGATGTCTAGTTCGTTACGCGGTTTTGATTGGACAATGCATAGACTCGTTAGTCCAGCCAAAATGAAACTCTGGAATTCCAGCCTAGTTCGGCAAGAGGTGGGGTGAAATGGGGTTTAACGTCGCGTCCAAGATTATTGCACTTATATAGCGACGTGCATGTACGTGTGTGTGTTTGTGTGGCTTCTTGTACCAGTCCGAACTGATGCCTATTTATAGTGCTAGCTCACTGAGATACCATGCCGCAGTTTAGCATGAATACCCTACTCAGACACAGTATACTGACTCCGAGCCGACCAGTCCTTGTTTTAGCCCCTCAATGCCGAGCGCCAGACAAGGTAACAACAAGTACCATCTTTTAACGTCTTTTGGTATGACGCGGCTGGGGATCGAACCCCGGACCTTCCGCTTTCCAGGCGGACGCTCTACCACTAGACCACGGAGGCGGTCTCGGCAAGAGTTGAAACTGGACTTTTATAGTCGGTTAACAGTCTTGCCTCGGGAAGATCGATATCAGTATGAACCAGGCCTGTCTTTGTTCCCTACTAATATACCCACTAATGGTGAGAATCTGGTGCCGCTTCTATCTTCCCGTTACTAATATTAAAATAATCCTCTGTGGCTATCACATATCCAACAAAAAGTCGCTGTTTTGAGTTTCGTGTATAGAATATTACAACAGCTCTTACAGAACCACACCATAATTTACTTTACAGCATTTCTCAAGAAGGGATTTATCAAAATGTATTTGTTTGTGAAGCTCACTTTATGATCATCTTTCACTTTATCATTTTTCACTTTATCATCATTAATCACTTTATCATCATTATTCAATTTATCGTTATTATTCACTTTATCGTCATTTCTCACTTTATCATCATTATTCACTTTATCATCATTATTCAATTTATCGTTATTATTCACTTTATCGTCATTTCTCACTTTATCATCATTATTCATTTTATCATCATTATTCATTTTATCATCATTAATCACTTTATCATCATTAATGATTTTATCATCATTATTCATTTTATCATCATTATCCACTTTATCCTCATTATTCACTTTATCATCATTATTCACTTTATCATCATTATTCACTTTTTCATCATTATCCACTTTATCATCATTATTCATTTTATCATCATTATTCATTTTATCATCATTATTCATTTTATCATCATTATTCATTTTTTCATCATTAATCACTTTATCATCATTATCCACTTTATCATCATTATTCACTTTATCATCATTATTCACTTTATCATCATTATTCATTTTATCATCATTATTCACTTTATCATCATTATTCACTTTATCATCATTATTCACTTTATCATCATTATTCACTTTTTCATCATTATCCACTTTATCATCATTATTCATTTTATCATCATTATTCACTTTATCATCATTATTCATGTTATCATCATTATCCACTTTATCATCATTATTCATTTTATCATCATTATTCACTTTATCATCATTATTCATTTTATCATCATTATTCACTTTATCATCATTATTCCTTTTATCATCATTATTCACTTTATCATCATTATTCACTTTTTCATCATTATCCACTTTATCATCATTATTCATTTTATCATCATTATTCACTTTATCATCATTATTCATTTTATCATCATTATCCACTTTATCATCATTATTCCTTTTATCATCATTATTCACTTTATCATAATTATTCATTTTATCATCATTATTCACTTTATCATCATTATTCATTTGATCATCATTAATCACTTTATCATCATTAATTATTTTATCATCATTATTCACTTTATCATCATTATTCACTTTATCATCATTATTCATTTTATCATCATTAATCACTTTATCATCATTATTCACTTCATCATCATTATTCCTTTTATCATCATTATTCACTTTATCATCATTCATTTTATCATCATTATTCACTTTATCATCATTATTCATTTTATCATCATTAATCAGTTTATCATCATGAATTATTTTATCATCATTATTCATTTTATCATCACTATTCATTTTATCATCATTATTCACTTTATCATCATTATTCACTTTATCATCATTATTCATTTTATCATCATTAATCACTTTATCATCATTAATTATTTTATCATCATTATTCATTTTATCATCATTATTCACTTTATCATCATTCACTTCACAGCAACACCTCAAGAAGGGATTTATCAAAATGTGAAGCCAGCAGTAAAAACCAAACCAAAGCATGGACGCAAAGGAAAGAAGCATAACGGTACGTGGGCACTCCCTGTACAATAACCCGTTATCAACACAGCAAGCTACCAACACGGATGATATGGAGGGCGGTTAACTGTATTCTCAAAATAGTTGTATATCATTTGGTTGTATCCTTCATAAAACAATGAGACTGAAACATTGCACACTTGAGGTGGGGTGAAATGGGGTTCAAGATTATTTCATTTCGTGTACATATCGACGTGCATGTACGTGCTTTCACTAGTGTAGACGAGCCCAATGAGATACCATGCCGCAGTTAACATGGATACTCCGCTTTAACACAGAATACTGACTCCGAGTCCACTTGTCCTTGATTTATCCATCCAATGCTGACCGCCAAGCGGGTAACGTGAAATATTATCGTTTAAAGTCTTTTGTCTCAACGTACATTAAAATACTAGCTAATGATTGGTTATGTAGCGGGGAACTATTTTCCATGTAGCCCGTTCATGTAGCCCTCCGCGAAATCAATCGGAACAGACCTTAGGTAACTTGCTTATCTCGCATCAGTATCGTTGAGCTGAAATGAACCAATGTTTATGCGAATGTATTTGGGTAAGGTAATTTTGCGTCGTCTGCTAGCTGTCAAAATGGCTGAATTAAAACCAGAAGGTGTAGGATGACGCAGTTGACACATTTCATGGATAAAGCTACTTCATTATAATATCATAGCGACGTTATACTCATGTCAAGCAAAACAAGATGTTATTCATAAAATATGTCTACTTTGATAAATAAAGAAACGAAAGTTATTTAAATGATTCGTTCACTAGCTACTAGCTACTACGAAAACATTCAATATGAATACCATGTTCACTTGGCACGCTGGATGTCATAAAAAATATGTCTATTTAGAAACAGTGACATTATATTTCCAACAACACTTTTTATAATACCGAGACATCTATGCTGAAAGACACAAACTCATTCGTCACCACTCGCCCCTTTCCGTAACCCACAAGAAGACTCGTTATGTGCGAGGATACGACAAACCAATCAGAATGCGCGTATGATTTAAATTTATTCGTCAAAGAATCCCTCAGAAATAATTTTTGATTTACATATATCTTGCATCTAAAAAATACCCAAGACACAGTTAAATGTGTTCTATCATACTGTATAATTTCGCTTGTCCTGATGTGTTTGAAACTGCATTTGACATGTATATGATATATGGGGAAATATATGTGAACAATTACGCAACGACTTGACAATGGTTTTAGGTATGCCCGTTTTGCGCTAAGACGGAACCCGGTCGCACAAATGGCCACGAGAGAGTCGCTATTCGACTTGTTCCGGAATAACACGAGTTGGTCACGAACGCCACAAACTGAAGCAGTATAGCAGTACACTGACATTTGTCTCTTTCAGATGGGAATATCTATGAAAACTGCTGACGGCCACGAGATGGAGTAGACGCCAACTATTACAAACCAACAACAGTGCTTCCTTAAGAGGGAGGATAAAGATGAGTGAGTGAGTTGGGTTTAACGCCGCTTTTAACAGTATTCCAGTTATATCGCGGCGTGTCAGCTTAATGTGGGAGGAAAGCCCGAAGTGATGCAGGTCTTAGACGTTTACCACTTCGGTGAAACCCACAAGCACGGGTATGGTGCTGACAAACCTAGAAACATAATCGGGGCGAACCGGGACTCGAACCCACAATCATAGGTTTCTGGCGTGCCCAAAGGACGCAAATCTGCACAGCGAATCGCGGCGCCTTAGACGACTGGGCCACCCGTGCCCCCGGATGAAGATGAAGAGACTGCAGCTGCTATATAATTAGGGACCAAATACAGACACGGTTCATGTTTAAATGTCACTGTGATATAAAGTGTGGTTTGTTTTTTTTTCTTTTTCTTTTTTATTCCCATAATTTCAAATACAAAGTATACATGGAACATATTACATTAAGATCAGCATGGTATATATTCAAATCGCCTTGTTGTACATTCAGTAGTTTGTTTCTCTGGTACATCTGGTAGATCTATATATAAGGTTTCTATACAGAATAACAGACAAATTGTAATATTAAATCATATCTTGGTATTCTTGAATAATGTGTGGAATGAAGACCAAAAAGAGAAAAATTTAGCTTGTTGACAATTTGAGAAAGCAATAGATCTTGTAGCTTCATTATATTTAATTATTTCCCACTTTACTTGTTTAAAATGTGGAATTGATTTCTTTCTCATTTGTTTATAAATTACAAATTTTGCAATTAAAAACATAATATTTAATGGGTTATTGTTTTTTCCTTTAAATCCAAATAAAAGATTTTGGTTACTACAATCAATACTTCCTTCCACTGTTGTCCCTAACCAATCTTTCAAATCCTCCCAATATGAATTGTATATTGACATTCACAAAACATATGAATAATGGTTTCTGCGCAAGTTTTACAAAGAGTACATGTGGGGGTATCTTCATAACCAATCCTAAATAAATAACTATTTGTTGCAAGAATATAGTGAAGTATCTTAAGGTGAAACCAAATTAGGCTTACACTTTGTGTACATCTGTAAACCATCAAATTATATATTTCCCACTCTTCATTACTAAAATTTTTTTGTAAAACATTTTCCCACTTAAGCATACCATGGGTTTTTACGAAATTTGGTTGTAGAAGAGTGTTATAAAAGTCTTTACTTTCGCCTTTACAATTAATTATAAGTGATACATTGAAGGGTAATATAGGTCGTAAATATATTCCCGTATAATTATCTAAATTGTTGGTCTTACAATATTGGTGGACAGCACTTAATAAACCTTGATATGTAAGAAAATCAGTTTCAAATTTGTATGCTTCCACAAATTCTTCCTAGGTATATATTTCCCCGCTATCCTTCAATAAATCACAAATAAACATTAAACCTTTACAGAACCAATTTCCATAAAATACCGGTTTTCCCCCAATCATAATATTGTTATTATACCATAGAGATTGGTTTATAAATTCAATTTTAGTCTTTATTTTATTCATTCCCAGGTATCGCGACCATGCCTCCAAAACATCTTTCCAAAATAAATTTACAACATTTGGGATGATGTAAGTATTAATGTACATAGCATTTGCCATCAATAGTAATCTGTTTCTATTCGGTATACAATAAGAAACTAGAGTTGACCACTTGGACTGACTATACAGTAATCTCTTCACCCATACTATTTTTTGTGCTGCTATAACATCTTTTATAATGGGTACTTTAATTCCTCCATATTTTTTAAGGTAATGAAATATTGCTTCTCTTGATTTTGTCTGGTTTACCCTTCCATACAAATCTAAAACATTTTTTTTTGAAAATGTTCAATAGTTTCGACTGAAGGATTTGGTATTGCAGTGAATAAAAGGTTTAGTTTTGACAATAGAAGGGATTTTAAGACTACATTTCTGCCTATTTGTGTCAAACTTCTTGCTGAACATTGATTCATTTCCTTTTCAATTTTTTTTCCAGTTTTTCCTCATAATTAATCTCCACTAATTTTTCAAGGTCCACATCAAAATTTATTCCTAACAATTTAAATTTTGTACTTGTCCAATCTAACTTCCATTCTTTACATAGTTTATACCGTGATCTCTTTTTGGATCCAATCCATATTATTTTGGTCTTGTCTGTATTTACCTTTAATGCTGAAAATCTAGCAAAAAAACTGTAATGTATTCATTACTGCATAGAGGCCATTTTCTGTACCATCTAAACTTAGAGAAGTATCATCAGCAAATTGAGCTACGATATGTTCTACATTTCCCATTTGAATTCCCTTAATCCTTTTGTTGCTCCTAATCATAATTGCCAGTATTTCAGCACACATAATAAATAAATATGGTGATAATGGATCGCCCTGACGACAACCTCTAGTTAGTTTAATGAAAGAACTTGCAAAACCATTTACTAGAACACTTGATTCCATACCATTAAAAAATGTTTTTACCCACTGTTGTATATTTGGTCCAAATTTAAAAAAATTCTAAAACATCTCAAATAAATTTTCTATCCACTGAATCGAAAGCTTTTTCAAAGTCTATGAGTAATAATAAACCAGGTATTTGGTATGTATCAGTATAATCAATTAAATCATATATAAGCCTCGTAACTTCTCCAATATATCTTCCAGGAACGAAACCTTTTTGGTCTTCATGTATAATTTGGGGTAGTACTTTTTTTTGTTCTGTTTGCAATTATTGCTGATGCTAATTTATATGAGGTATTCAAAAGTGATATTGGTCTCCAGTTTTTTAGAAATAATTTAGATTTGTTTTCTTTAGGCAAACATGTAATCAATCCTTGTTTTTGTGTTATTGATAAAGATTCATTTCTGTATGCATAATTAAGAGAATTTATCAGATATTTACCAATGTCATTCCAAAAGAATTTTAAAAATTCTGATGTAAAGCCATCAGGTCCAGGGCTTTTATCATTTTTCATATTTTTTAATGCTACAAGAGCTTCCTCATAAGATATTTCAGCTTCTAAATCTAATGAAATATTTGTGTCTAGTCTTGGAATATTTATCTCAGTGAAAAGCTCTTCTAAATTAATTTGTGTACAGTTTTCACTGGAATATAATTTTTGATAAAATAATTTTGTTTCTTCCAATATCTCATTTTGTTTTTTAATTACTGTTCCATCACTTTTTATCAATTCACTAATAGATTTATTTTAAAAAATTCTATGTTCTAAATGCAGAAAATATGTACTGGGTTTTTCCCCATACTCTATCCAGGCCATTTTGCTTTTGACCTGACGAATAATCCCTGTGTCTTAAGTTTGTTATATCCTCCCTTTCTGCTTTTAATTCATCTATGGTGCTCAATATTTTGGTCTTTTCCAATTCTAATTCTACATTATCTATTTTTGTTTCCAGATCATACAGTTTAGTTTCTAATTCTTTTTCTCTAGCAATAGTTGTTGTTTTTTTGTGGATGAATAATATATTGACTCTCCTCTAATAGCAAGTAATATGGTTTCCAATAATAACTGATCATTAATCACATACTTTTTACCTTCCAAATTTGTTTTATCCTCATATTGATTAAGGGTAAACTTTATTATTTTCTTTATTTGTTCAACATATTCCTTATCATACAACAAAGAATAATTAAATTTCCAATATCCTTTTTCCTCTTTCCATATCTGATAAATTAAATGTCATCGAAATCAAAGAATGATTAGAGTTTAAACTTGGACTAATATCACATTTAATAATTGAATACTGAAAATTTTGTGAGATTACAAAATAATCTAAGCGGGCCTGTTTAATTGGATTTGGCTGACGCCATGTAAAACGCTTTTCATTTGGATTAGATTCCCTACATGGATCTTTCAGATCCAAGAGATCCATTATTTCTAAAACAACCTTTCTGGATTTAGGATTATTTATGTGTTTATAATTATATGTATCCAAATCTATATCTTGTATTAAATTCCAATCTCCACATAAAATTATTCTGTCCCTTTCTAATTCAGTTATAGTTTCTTTTATTTTTTCAAACAATTCTGGTTTATCCAAATTTGGCCCATACATATTAATTAGTGTGTATACATATTTTTGTATTTCTATATTTAATGCAACATAATTTCCTTCATCCTTATCTAATAATACTTTGGTAACTTTGAACTCAAAAATATTATTAAATAAAGTTGCTATCCCTCTTGCATTACTTTTTAAAGGGGCAATATAACATTCTTTATAACCCCATTGCTACTTTATTTGTTGTTCGTGATCTGCTGTAAAATGAACATCTTGTAGACAATAAATTTGTGCTTTTTTACTTCTTAAAAATTTAAATATTTGTTTTCTCTTAAATGTACCTCCGAGGCCTCTACAGTTTAATGACATCACAGTTAATTTATTTTTCCTCATAATTAAATGTACTCATATCTATATATTGTACTGAATATACTTTCTTAAATATTGTAAAGACTATCATCACATCAAGTTCGCACATGTAGACCTATATTGAAAAGGGTGGGATTTTTTATACAGAAAACAAAATTCATATAACTGTATCGAAATTATACTTAAAACGACTTCCATTTGGAATCATTGTTCGCTACAACCCAGCTTTATGAAATAATGTTCAAATATATGCCTCTTTGTACAATATTATTAAGAGTACCTGGCTGTATATAATTTTCATATAAAGAAAAAGAAGAGAAAAAAAGTAAAATAAAAATTAGAATAAGTTTTGTATATAACCGCTTCACAACAAAAAAACTGTCCCAATTCTGCTTTAGATGACAACGGTTAATCCAGACCTCACTTCCTATTATCATAGCTATAACAACATATGTAATTGTTTATATTATTTCTACATTATTTTGTATACCCGATCATATCACACTTAATCTCATGGTAATTAAATACTATAGATCAGGTCAAAGTCTTTTTTACATCCTTGTACAATTACAATATGATTCCCAAAGTATCAGGAGTTTCCTTATCAAGAGATTCTAATCATTACTCACATCACCATGATCACACATAAGCCTTTGTTCATAGCTAAAGCACTCCTCTTTGCTCCATTAAAATGAAATTCAAAATAGACCTTTGTGATC